CCTCTTTGGCATTATTAATCTGTTGGAATCTGAGCCGCCCATAATGTTGTTTCTGTGAAAACCTGACCCATCGGGCGCGAACCAGGTCGTTTATGGTACACATAGACAGGCTGGTCTTTTTATATCAGTCCTGACACCAGGCGTAGTTGGGTGGGGCAGGAGAGGGTGTGGTAGGTTTAACGCAAATCTGCTATCACCACTGACTTATTCACGCGGAATTCGCGGTCACTGTGCTGCTCTGTTTTTTGGGCACATGGTGGACATTGTCGGTAACGATAGTCAGAATATGTGTGAGAGTGTCTGTGCCCCAAAACGGGGTGCCCTGTGAACACCCAAAGCCAATACGGGGAATGAGATCGGTTCACTGCACGCGTGGATCAGGCTGCGCGAGCCCAAAACTACTGCCGGACGGTGAGCGGCGGGTGCTTGGCACATCTAGAGTTTGTTCCGCGCCGCTCCAGCTACTAACTCAATTCGAAGACAAGATGGCTGGATGCTTGGGCGGCTGACTGATGTATGGGAGAGTGAGGAGAAAGTGAGCTCGACACTGGGGAATCCACTCCCATGGTATTTCAACGTATTTATCGTTGCGATGAACCGGAGACTTCTGAGTCTGCCATGACACGTTAAATATCATGGCTTTGAAAGACTGAAAGTAATGCTCAAGGGTTTATTCTGAAAAAAACTTTATGGCACACTCAAGCACGTGAATTCTGAGCCACCTCATGTGTGAGGAAAGAGACGACGAACTATTTTACTCTTGCAGCTACAGCGCCCAAACCCATCTCCGTCGTTCTGACTCTGTTTTGACGCCGGTCTCATGTGGGAGAAGTAGAGGAGAGTGCGGTATATACTGCGAAAATCTGTATCGCTTTAAATTATTTCGCATGCAAGTTATCGTCCTGCGCCCACCATTTCGTGGAGCACACGGTGGACATCGTCGTTCATGATGATTGAAATGTTCTTGAGACGGTTGTCCTGCCTGTCACAGGGCATCGATGACCGTCTTAGTACTAAGAACCTGCCCACTCCTTGAGAACAAATATGCCACGATCTTCGGCGCCTATTCCCCTTCTGTGACCAGCTCCAAAAACTTGGTGGACAAGTTTAAAGAAGACTTGCACACCGTCTACGCGACTGTACGAGAAGCAAACAAAGTGATTGCTATTTATGAACCCAATGTCCTGCATCTGCATGGACCACGCCAGCTGGTAAGGAGTCCTGGGTTGCCACATGGCCAGTAAATGCAACAGCAGCAGTCATTTCTCTTTTAAGAGCTGCACAGAGCACAATCTTCTCCGACCAACGCATTCTTCAGCAACCGCTGCAAGGGAGGGCGACATGGATGTATCCTCGCTCGCGTCACTGGCGGCTGCTGGAATATGTCCTCGTCCAGAAGTGTAACCAGTGTGACCTATGAAGACAGAGTCAAGAAAACCGGAGGTGGGGGAGGGCGCAGGTGGCTGACACGGCTGGAGCCATACCTAGGCGCTCCACCATACCTCCTGGTCCACACAACAAATGATCAGGATTCTTGGCCGCCAACAACAACAACAGCCCAACAGGGGCCAGATGTACGAGAATGACTGGGCAGCCATGCCCACCACCTGTGTACCTAGCGAGAGCGCAAGCGCATATAGCGGCGGGGAACCAGGTGTTACGGAGCTGCCAGCGCATAGCAGGCTGCAAGGGCCATGGTTTAGTGAGACTGGTATAGCGCACGCTTGTAGACCCTTTGACCTAGAAGGGCGACCCTTGGTCCTGCATATAGCTTGGGACGTCAAACTTCAAGGTTAAGTAACCAAACAGTCTTCGACTGATTCGTCGACTGAGAGGCACTACCCATAGAGTACACACTCTCTCCTCACATACATGAGTGTCACAGATCGCTGGAGAAGGAGCCGCTTCAGCCTGGCTCTCAGTCCACCGCTCCGCACAAACGCACGCACAAAGCTGGATGGACTGCGTGGACTGAGTTGGGGTGTCAGTCGGCTCCCTTCCAAGCCACGGCGCTCGAAGCATCGTGGCAGTCTCGAACTCCGATCAAACATGCAGCTGGGGGGCCGCATGTAGGAGCCGAGACGTATGCTTCCTACTTGCGTGGGAGATGGAGGTTGGGTGTTTGAGGCAGTGAGGTTGATGTGCAGTGAGATGCTGGTGGGGAAGCATGTAATGATGGGACGCAGATGGCGGTGGTCTACCGCAGGTTTTCGCGGGTGCGCATGCGACCTACTTGACCTATGCGGTGAACAAATTTCTGAGTGCCATGTGGACAGTGGAAGCGGATGCGTCGAGTGTAGGCTGGTGTTCCAAGTTGTCAGACTCTGTGCGATGGATTCGCAAGTGACCGACCAGGCCGGTGCGTGAGATGAATGTGCGGGGACAGTGTGGACATGAGTTGACGGCGGTGTTATTATCAGCTTCGGTGGTGGTGGTGGTGGTGGTGGTGGTGGTGGTGGTGGTGGTGGTGGTGGTGGTGGTGGTGGTAGCGGGCGCGCTGGGCGACGGGGTGTGGCATAGTGGGTGTGTAAGATGTACTGAGTGCGGTGGATTTAGTGGCGATGGGCGCGCTGGTCTGCGGAGCGTGGGCTGGGCATGGTGGGTGTGTGGGGTGTGTCAGGACTGCGGCCAATTCCGCTCTCGTGGATACGCATTTGACTGAAAAGGCCCATGCGGTGTGTGAATGTGCGAGGACAGTGCGAACAGTGGTGGCGAATGCGGCGGGTGTAGGTTGGTGCTCCAGGCACCGGTTCGCCAATTTCTGTACGATGGATTCGCAAGTGAGCATTCAGGCCGATGTGTAAGGCGAAAGTGCGGTCGTAATGAGGACTGGCATAATGCGAGTCCTCACCACTGGTATCGACGGTGGTGGTGTTGGTGTGTGTCGGCGTGTCAGAATTATGTGTAATGTTGATGTGCATGACAGACGCCACAACGGCAGACTTTTAGGCAGTGTGGGATGTGGAGGATGGAAGTGGTGGTTCGGGAGGGCGGTCAGAGTTAGATGACGGCGTAGGAGGCGGGAGAGAGGTGGACGGAGAGACGACGGCTGGTGCAGTCCGAATGTTGCAGTTGGTCTGAAGGTGTCCAACAAGTCATTTGGCGTCCGGAATGTCCGTTGACACCGTGGACACTGGGGGCGGTTGGGCGTTGCCGTTGCGAGGTGGGCGCAGCTGAAATTTGCGTGCTTATCGTTTGGCTTTCGCGGCAGCCATGCTGTTTGCCTTGTAGTTCGCTCCGCCTGTCTTCACTGTACTCCTCCACGTAAGTCGGTCTCGAGCGGGGTCTTCCCATTTGGTCGGGTTGATTTGCAGACTCTCCAGGGTGGTCTTCAGAGTGTCCTTATATCGACGGATCAGGACTCCTTGTGGTCGGGAACCCGTTGCAACATCTCCATAGAAGAGTCGTCTGTGTTGACTCTCGTTGTCCATTCGCATGAGGTGGCCACTGCAACGCAGTTGCAGTTGTCTCAGCGTGGCGTAGATGCAGAGAATTCCCGTACGCTCCGATACATCCCTGTTGGGGATCCGGTATTGCCACCTCAGCTTCAGCAACCGTGGAAGACAGCTGAGGTGGAAGTGGTTGAGTCGACGCGCCTGCTTTTTGTACACCGTCCAAGTCTCCGTTCCATACAACAGCGTCGCAGGATGGCTGTCTTGTGCATCTTCAGCTTCGTGTTGAGATGGAGACCATTACGGTTTCAGACGGTGTTCTGCAGACGGCTGAAGACTTGGCTGGCTCTGGAGATCCGGCGGGCTACTTTAGCGTGCTGCGGGAGAGAGTGCTGTCCAGATACGTGAAGTTGTCCAGTACTTGCAGTTGGGTTCGGTTTACGCTGATTTGCGGCGCACTGTGGGCTGTGTTGGGTGGCGGTTGGTGCGTGACCACCGCCTTCTCCGTGTTAATGATCAGGCTGAAGTTCTCGCAGGCGGCGAAGAGATCCATGCTTCTTTGCATGACCTCTTCCGAGATGGCGTTCAGGGCGCAGTCGTCGGCGAAGAGGAGTTCGTGGACGGTAGTTGTGGATACACGCGACTGGAAGTGCATCCGACGCTGCTTGAGGAGGTGGCCGTCTGTCCTGTAGGGGATGCGGATCCCAGCGCGTTCGTCACGGTGAGCGTCCGTCAGCATGGCAGAGAACATGAGACTAGAGAGGATAGGCGCAAGGATGCAGACATACTTCACTCCGTTGGTTACTGCGAATGCCTCTGAGACAGCTCCATTGTCTGTGACTTGCGCCATCATGTAATCGTGGAACTGACGCCCCATCCGAGTAAGTGGTCCGTGGCAGCCGAATTTCTGCATGATTTTCGACAGTCCTGCGCGATTCACTGTATCGAAGGCTTTACTCAGATCCATGGAGGTAGAGTACAGGTGGTTCCGCATCTCCTGGCACTTCTCCTGAAGTCGTCAGCGCCGAAGATAATTTCCATGGTCTCACGATGATGACGAAAGCCGCACTGGCTTTCCGGCAGAAGACCCTGTTCCAGGTGATTATTCAGGCAGTTGAGAAGGATGCGAGTGAAAATTTTCTCGACGATGTTCATCTGGGAAATACCTCGGTAGTTGTAGCTGATTTGGTGGTTTCTTTTGCGCTTGTATAGGTGAACGATTGTGGCGTCTTTAAAATACTGAGGGATTTTTCCATGACGCCACATCTCCTGGAAGAACTCAGTCAGGTGATCCATTGGCTGGGGACCACCGTGCTTGTAGACCCCAACAGCGATCGCGTCCGATTCGGGCGCTTTCCCGCAGAAGAACTGCTGCACGGCCTTGATAGTTTCATGTAGAGAGGGCAGGAGATAGAGGTCGACGTTTTTCTCCACTTGAGACAGACGGAAGATAGTGACATCGGAGATGGTGGAGGGATGGTTGAAGACGCCTCGGAAGTGCACGGCCCATCGCTGTAGAATTTGTGTTTTCTCAGTGAAGAGAGTATTGCAGTCGGTGCTGAGAGAAAACGCAGTACTTTTTGTTGGCGGACCGTAGACGGTTTTGGTCCCGGAGAAGAAGTTCTTTCATTCGTTGCGGTTCGCGTACCCTTGAAAATCCTCGGTCTTGCGAGCCGTCCAGGTGTCCGTCATCTGCCGCAGCTGCTGTTGAACAAGGTGGCGTCTACGGTGGTAGGCAGTTTTGTTGTCGTCAGGAGGGCGATTGATGTAGGCCCTTGTAGCCGGTTCTTCTCGGCGAGCAGGTTGCTGATGGCGGTTTCGTTGTCGTAGAACCAGTCCTAGTGTTGACGGCGCGCACGACCGAGAACGGCCAGCGCCGTCGACTGGACTGCTTTCCGCAGTTGACACCATCGATTCTCCGCGGACTCGTTCTCGTCAGCTGAGGCGATGGCGAGTGGAAGGTTGTCTAGCAGCTGAGCTAGCTCATTGCTGAAATAGTGATGGTGAGCAGGCGAAGACAACAAAGCAGTATCCAGCTTACCTAGGGATCGTCTACCCTGAGGTCTCTTGCGAAGTTTTATGCGAATCCGCAAATCCGAGATGACGGGACGATAGTCTCTCCATCCATCGGCATCCGGGATAGCCCTTGTCACCAGCACGTCCCGCTGGTCTCGCCTCCGGACGAGGACATAGTCGAGCAGATGTCACTGACGGGATTGAGGATGCATCCAGGTGGCGTTCTCTCGCATCCGAAGGCAGAATAAGGTGTTCGTCAGGGTGGGTCAGTGTTCTGCGCAAGTTCGTAGGAGGAGCAGGCCATTGTCCTTGAAGCCGTTGAGACCATGGGGATCTAACACTCCTCTCCAGACAGCATGGTCTATCCCGACGCGGGTGTTGAGGTCATCAAGGACAATCAACTTTTCTGTCTTTGACACAATCGCCAGGAGGACATTCAGATCCTCAATGAAGCTGTGTAGCAGTTCGCGTCTCCTCGCTTTCCGTCTTTGTCACGCTGCCCTCCTGTCCGCCTCACACTCCTTGTCGATGCGCTGATGGGATGCGCGAGTGCTCGAAGCCAATCAACGCTGCCCCCACTCTGATTGGCTGGCGAGATTGAGACAACGAAGGGCGCACACAAGCGCTGACAACACCTCGAAGGCGGACACAGACAACAGCTTGCTTGGCGCGCGCTCGCGGCAACTGCCTACAGAGCCCTTGTGTACGCACTTTCTCAGGCAGTAAAGGTTGTCCAACTCAAACCGTCTTCCCTGACTTTTGATTGGGAATCTTTATCTTGTCGACCACACTACCTCCGACAATTGGTGACCCCCTTGCGAACAGCAATCTTCGTTCTTCCTAATCTTCGACAAAGTCAGGTGTTGATCATGGACAATTTTCCACCAGAAGTGCAGCATATTTTGGCACCCGCCTTCGGCATTCTTTCGGCGACGCAACTTACTCAGATGGCTGATCGGCTTATGGAGATGCACGGTTTTTCCAAGCCGTCTATTTCAGCACTCTCAACTCCCTCATCTCCTCCTGCGTCTCCCATTTCGCAGTTAGAGATCGAGCTCAACAAGCTGGCCGATGAGATAGCCGCTCTCCAGAAGCCTACAGTTTCTGCCTCATCTCGGAGCCAACCGCAGCCGTCCACCCCGCATGTCCAGTCTTCTCATTCAGCCAGTCCAAACGCAGCTGCCACCTGCTGGTACCACACTACTTTCGGTGGTAAAGCCCGTCGCTGCGTCTCTCCTTGCTCCTTCACTTCCAAGCAGAGCAAACGGGTTAAACCGATCAACCCGAAGGTCTGTGCAGCCAATCTTCCTGACAGTTCTAACCCTGGTCACACATTTTACGTCCGCGACACCAGGAGTGGCAGGCGTTTCTTGGTTGACACTGGTGCCCAGCTAAGTGTCATTCCACCCACACCAGCTGATCGTCGGTGTCCCAATCCCGGTCTTTTCCTACAGGCCGTCAACACATCGCCGATTACCACATTTGGCACCTGCTCCCTCTCTCTGGACATCGGTCTCCGGCGTCTCTTTCCTTGGGTCTTCGTCGTGGCTGACATTCCCTGTGCAATTCTCGGTGCAGATTTCCTCGCCGCTTTCGATCTTCTGGTCGACTGCCGTCAGTCACGTCTACACGACAAGACTACCAACCTCACTGTCCGGGGTATCTCTTCCTCCGACGCTTCCCGTCATCTTGCCGTCTTGGACCCTGAACCCGAGAATCCATTTCGGCAACTCCTCGCCAAATACCCCGGCCTCACTCGCCCAACTTCAACGTTTCTGTTCCACCGCATGACGTTGTTCACCACATTCGGACCACCGGCCCTCCCGTGTTTTCTCGCCCCCGCCGTCTCGCGCCTACACGTCTTGCTGCCGCCAAGGCCGAATTCGAGCACATGCTTCAACTGGCCATCATCCGTCAGTCTGAAAGCCCATGGGCCTCACCCCTCCACATGGTTCCAAAGGCCGCCACTGGTGACTGGCGCCCTTGCGGTGATTACAGGGCCCTGAACAACGTTACTGTCCTGGACCGCTACCCTGTTCCACATCTTCAGGATTTTGCCGGTGCCCTATTCGGCAAGTCTGTATTCTCGAAGATCGATCTGGTCCGTGCTTTCCACCAAATTCCCATAGCCCCAGAGGATGTTTCGAAGACGGCCGTTACCACCCCCTTTGGCCTCTTTGAGTTCCTGCGCATGCCGTTTGGACTTCGCAACGCCTCCCAGACCTTCCAAAGGTTCGTAGACAGAGTGCTTCGCGGCTTACCGTTTGTCTACGCCTATATCGACGACCTTCTGGTAGCCAGCTCCACCACCGAAGAACACATGGAGCATCTGGCAACGGTGTTTGACTGCCTTCAACAATTTGGCGTTGTTCTCAACCCGTCCAAGTGCGTCTTCGGTGTGCCCTCCCTAGAATTTCTCGGTCATCTGGTCAACTCCCACGGCATTCGGCCTCTTCCCTCAAAGGTTGCCGCCATTCGGGACTTTCCACCCCCTACCTCGAAGCGTCAGTTGCAACGGTTTCTTGGTATGGTGAACTTTTATCGCCGGTTTCTCCCAAACTGTGCCGACACCATCCTACCTCTGACCAGTCTCCTCTCTGGTTCTAAGCGCACCTTTGAACTTACATCAGCCGCACTCACGTCATTTGAGCAGGTAAAAGCCCTTCTGGCTGATGCCACCCTCCTGACTCACTTTCACGCTGATGCACCCATATCTTTGATGGTCGATGCCTCCAATGTTGCTGTTGGCGCGGTTCTTCAACAAAGTCTGCCGGATTCTACCGTGCCTTTGGCTTTCTTCTCCAAGAAACTATCCAAGGCCGAAGCCCGCTACAGCACATTCGGACGTGAACTTCTCGCCGCTTATCTTGCCGTAAGGCACTTCCGGCATTTACTCGAAGGTCGAGAGTTCACAATTTTCACTGATCATAAGCCACTCACGTTTGCAATACATTCCCACTCTGACAAGCTAAGCCCCAGGGAGATCCGTCACCTGGACTACATTTCGCAGTTCACTTCAGACATCCGCCATATTGAGGGGTCACGGAATGAGGTGGCTGACGCACTCTCAAGGCCCTCCATTGCTCATCTTCAGCTTTCACCCGGGATAGACCTCGCTGAGATGGCCGCTGAACAACGCCGTGTCGGTCCACCCTGTGATGAGGATGTTTCCGGACTCCAACTTCAGGAGCTACCACTGACAACTGGCAACGGCACTATTCTATGCGACGTATCCACCCCATCTCATCGTCCATTTGTGCCACCATCTCTCCGCCGCAAAATTTTCTCCTCCCTGCACAATCTGTCTCACCCTGGGAGTCGAGCAACCGACAAGCTGGTTTCCGACCGCTTCGTCTGGCCTGGTATGCACAAGGACCTCAAGGCATGGATACGGGCTTGTATCGCCTGTCAACGGAGCAAGATCCAGCGGCACAACAAGGCCCCCATTGGCACCTTCCCCGGCCCTGGTTCAAGATTCAGCCACGTTCACCTGGACATTGTAGGCCCCCTGCCTCTGTCCAATGGTTGTTCCTATCTCCTCACCTGTGTGGATCGGTTCACTCCGTGGCCTGAAGCAATTCCCCTGCCTGACATTGCTGCTCCAACGGTGGTCAAGGCTTTTCTCAGTCGTTGGGTTGCAATCTTTGGTGCACCCTCCACAATCACGACTGACCGTAGGGCCCAATTTGAGTCTAACCTCTTCCAGTCTTTACTCTCCTTTTTAGGCTGTACCCACATTCGGACGACAGCCTATCACCCGGCTGCTAACGGGATGGTCGAGCGGTTTCACCGCCAGCTGAAGGCCTCCCTACGCGCCGCGGCCGATCCGGAGAACTGGACGGACCATTTTCCCCTGGTCCTCTTGGGTATCCGCTCCGCTCTGAAGCCGGACCTTGATTGTTCCGCAGCTGAACTGGTGTTCGGTGCCACCGTCCGACTCCCCGGTGAGATGATCTCGCCAACCCCACAAGGTGCGTTTGAGGATCCCACCAACCTCCTGCATCGCCTCCGGCAGTTTATGCGGACACTTTCCCCGGTTCCTCCCAGGTTCTCCGCCTCTCCGTCTTATCTCGAGAAGGACTTGACAACGTGCTCTCACGTCTATCTCCGATGTGATCGAGTCCGCCGGTCCCTGGAACCACCCTACGATGGCCCCTTCCGAGTTATCTCTCGTGGGACGAAGAACTTCCGCATCCAACGCGGCACTCGCGAGGATGTCGTGAGCGTGGACCGTCTCAAAGCTGCCGTCCCGGACACTCCTCCGGATGAGCCTTGTGGTCCCCTACCCCCTGCTCCGCCTCCCCGACCCTCTATTCCACCGTCCCGTATACTTCCTCTGCCCCCATGTTCGCAACCCACAACTCCAACTACTACTTCATCAACCAGCAACACTGTAGCCGCGAGCCATACTCACTCTACTCCTGTGCCCCCTGTATATATCACCCGTAGTGGACGCCATGTTCACTTTCCTGACCGTTTCGTTACTCATGTTTTTTAGACATCAACAGTTCCTTCGGTATCGCTACGCGCCACCTTCGGTCTAACCGGGGGGTACTGTAGCAGTTCGCGTCTCCTCGCTTTCCGTCTTTGTCACGCTGCCCTCCTGTCCGCCTCACACTCCTTGTCGATGCGCTGATGGGATGCGCGAGTGCTCGAAGCCAATCAACGCTGCCCCCACTCTGATTGGCTGGCGAGATTGAGACAACGAAGGGCGCACACAAGCGCTGACAACACCTCGAAGGCGGACACAGACAACAGCTTGCTTGGTGCGCGCTCGCGGCAACTGCCTACAGAGCCCTTGTGTACGCACTTTCTCAGGCAGTAAAGGTTGTCCAACTCAAACCGTCTTCCCTGACTTTTGATTGGGAATCTTTATCTTGTCGACTACACAACTT